ACTCATGAGCCTGAAGTACATGCCCAGAGCCTGAGTGTTAGCCAAGGGCCAAAGTACTAGCCAAGAGCAAAAGTACTACTCAAACTGGAGTTCTAGCCAAGAACCAGAGTACTAGCCAGTAGCCAAAGTGCTAGTCAAGAGCAAAAGTACTAGCCTAGCAAAAGTACTACCCATGAGCCTGAAGTACATGCCAAGAGCCTTAGTGCTTGCCAAGGGCCAGAGTACTAGCCAAGAGCCAAAGTACTAGCCAAAAGCAAAAGTACAAGACATGAGCCTGAAGTACATGCCAAGAGCCTGAGTGCTAGCCAAGGGGCAGAGTACTAGCCAAGGGGCAAAGTTGTAGCCAAGGGCAAGAGTACTAGCCAAGAGCTAAGGTACAAGCCAAAAGTACTAGCCAAGAGCAAAGGTACAAACCAAAAGCCGTAGTACTAGCCGAGCTGGCGTACTAGCCAAGAGCCAAAGTACTAGCCAAGAGCAAAGATATTACCCATGAGCCTAAAGTACAAGCCAAGAGCCAGAGTACTAGCCAAGAGCCAAAGTACTAGCCAAACGCAAAAGTACAAGCCATGAGCCAGAGTACTAGCCAAGAGATGAAATATGAGGCCGTGAGCGGAGGTACTAGCCAAGCTAAAGTGCTAGCCAAGAGCCAAAGTACTAGCCGAGCGGGAGTACTACTCATGAACCTGAAGTACATGCCAAGAGCCTGAGTGCTAGCCAAGGGGCAGAGTACTAGCCAAGAGCCAAAGTTGTAGCCAAGGGCCAAAGTACTAGCCAAAAGCAAAAGTACAAGCCATGAGCCAGAGTACTAGCCAAGAGAAGAAATATGAGGCCGTGAGCAGAGGTACTAGCCAAGCTAAAGTGCTAGTCAAGAACCGAAGTACTAGCCAAGAGCAAAAGTACAAGCCAAGAGCAAAAGTACTACCCATGAGCCTGAAGTACTACCCATGAGCCTGAAGTACATGCCATAAGCCTGAATGCTAGCCAAGGGGCAGAGTACTAGCCAAGAGCCAAAGTTGTAGCCAAGGGCCAGAGTACTAGCCAAGAGCAAAAGTACTACCCAAAAGCTGAAGTACTAGCCGAGCTGCACTACTACCAAGAGCCAAAGTACTAGCCAAGAACAAAAGTACAAGCCCAGAAACAAAGTATTAGTCGAGCTGGAGTACTAGCCAAGAGCCAAAGTGCTAGCCAAGAGCAAAAGTACTAACCAAAGAAAGTACTACTCAAATTGGAGTGCTAGCCAAGCTAAGGTACTAGCCAAGAATTAAAGTACTAGCCAAGAGCAAAGGTACAAACCAAAAGCTGTAGTACTAGCCGAGCTGGAGTACTAGCCAAGAGCCAAAGTACTACCTATGAGCCTAAAGTACAAGCCAAGATCCAGAGTACTAGCCAAGGGCCAGAGTACTAGCCAAGACCAAAAGTACTACCCATGAGATGAAGTATCAGGCCATGAGCGGAGGTACTAGCCGAGCTGGCGTACTAGCCAAGGGCCAGAGTACTAGCCAAAAGCAAAAGTACAAGCCATGAGCCAAAGTACTAGCCAAGAACCAGAGTACTAGCCAAGAGCTAAAGTACTAGCCAAGAGCAAAAGTACTACCCATGAGATGAAGTATCGGGCCATGAGCGGAGGTACTAGCCAAGCTGGAGTACTAGCCAAGGGCCAGAGTACTAGCCAAGATCCAAAGTACTAGCCAAAAGCAAAAGTACAAGCCATGAGCCAGAGTACTAGCCAAGAGCAAAAGTACAAGCCAAGAGCCAAAGTACTAGCCAAGAGCAAAAGTACTACCCATGAACCTGAAGTACAAGCCAAAAGCCAGAGTACTAGCCAAAAGCAAAAGTACTAGCCATGAGCCAAAGTACTAGCCAAGGGCCACAGTACTAGTCAAGAGCAAAAGTACTACCCATGAGCTGGAGTACTAGCCAAGAGCCAAAGTACTAGCCAAGATCCTGAAGTACATGCCCAGAGCCTGAGTGCTAGCCAAGGGCCAAAGTACTAGTCAAGAGCAAAAGTACTAGCCAAGAGCAAAAGTACTACCCAAGAGCCTCAAGTAGAAGCCAAAAGCCAGAGTACTAGCCAAAAGCAAAAGTACTAGCCATGAGCCAAAGTACTAGCCAAGGGCCAGAGTACTAGTCAAGACCAAAAGTACTACCCATGAGATTAAGTATTGGCCCGTGAGTGGAGGTACTAGCCGAGCTGGAGTACTAGCCAAGAGCCTGAAGTACATGCCCAGAGCCTGAGTGCTAGCCAAGGGCCAAAGTACTAGCCAAGAGCAAAAGTACTACTCAAATTGGAGTACTAGCCAAGAACCGGAGTACTAGCCAAGAACCAGAGTACTAGCCATCAGCCAAAGTGCTAATCAAGAGCAAAAGTACTACCCATGAGCCTGAAGTTCATGCCAAGAGCCTTAGTGCTTGCCAAGGGCCAGAGTACTAGCCAAGAGCCAAAGTACTAGCCAAAAGCAAAAGTACAAGCCATGAGCCTGAAGTACATGCCAAGAGCCTGAGTGCTAGCCAAGGGGCAGAGTACTAGCCAAGGGAAAGAGTACTAGCCAATAGCTAAGGTACAAGACAAAAGTACTAGCCAAGAGCAAAGGTACAAGCCAAAAGCAATAGTACTAGCCGAGCTGGCATACTAGCCAAGAGCCAAAGTACTAGCCAAGAGCAAAGATACTACCCATGAGCCTAAAGTACAAGCCAAGAGCCAGAGTACTAGCCAAGAGCCAAAGTACTAGCCAAACGCAAAAGTACAAGCCATGAGCCAGAGTACTAGCCAAGAGATGAAATATGAGGCCGTGAGCGGAGGTACTAGCCAAGCTAAAGTGCTAGTCAAGAACCAAAGTTCTAGTCAAGAGCAAAAGTACAAGCCAAGAGCCAATGTACTAGCCGAGCGGGAGTACTACTCATGAGCCTGAAGTACATGCCAAGAGCCTGAGTGCTAGCCAAGAGGCAGAGTACTAGCCAAGAGCCAAAGTTGTAGCCAAGGGCCAAAGTACTAGCCAAAAGCAAAAGTACAAGCCATGAGCCAGAGTACTAGCCAAGAGATGAAATATGAGGCCGTGAGCGGAGGTACTAGCCAAGTTAAAGTGTTAGTCAAGAACCGAAGTACTAGCCAAGAGCAAAACTACAAGCCAAGAGCCAAAGTACTAGCCAAGAGCAAAAGTACTACCCATGAGCCTGAAGTACATGCCAAGAGCCTGAGTGCTAGCCAAGGGGCAGAGTACTAGCCAAGAGCCGAAGTACTAGCCAAGAGCAAAAGTACAAGCCAAGAGCTGAAGTACTAGCCGAGCTGCACTACTACCAAGAGCCAAAGTACTAGCCAAGAACAAAGGTACAAGCCAAAAGCCGTAGTACTACCAGAGCTGGAGTACTAGGCAAGAGCCAAAATACAAGCCAAGAGCAAAAGTACTACCCATAAGCCTGAAGTACATGCCAAGAGCCTGAGTGCTAGCCAAGGGGCAGAGTACTAGCCAAGAGCCAAAGTTGTAGCCAAGGGCCAGAGTGCTAGCCAAGGGCCAGAGTACTAGCCAAGAGCAAAAGTACTACCCAAGAGCTGAAGTACTAGCTGAGCTGCACTACTACCAAGAGCCAAAGTACTAGCCAAGAACAAAAGTACAAGCCCAGAAAGAAAGTATTAGTCGAGCTGGAGTACTAGCCAAGAGCCAAAGTGCTAGCCAAGAGCAAAAGTACTAACCAAAGAAAGTACTACTCAAATTGGAGTGCTAGCCAAGCTAAGGTACTAGCCAAGAATTAAAGTACTAGCCAAGAGCAAAGGTACAAACCAAAAGCTGTAGTACTGGCCGAGCTGGAGTACTAGCCAAGAGCCAAAGTACTACCTATGAGCCTAAAGTACAAGCCAAGATCCAGAGTACTAGCCAAGGGCCAGAGTCCTAGCCAAGACCAAAAGTACTACCCATGAGATGAAGTATCAGGCCGTGAGCGGAGGTACTAGCTGAGCTGGAGTACTAGCCAAGGGCCAGAGTACTAGCCAAAAGCAAAAGTACAAGCCATGAGCCAAAGTACTAGCCAAGAACCAGAGTACTAGCCAAGAGCTAAAGTACTAGCCAAGAGCAAAAGTACTATTCATGAGATGAAGTATCGGGCCATGAGCGGAGGTACTAGCCGAGCTGGAGTACTAGCCAAGGGCCAGAGTACTAGCCAAGATCCAAAGTACTAGCCAAAAGCAAAAGTACATGCCATGAGCCAAAGTACTAGCCAAGGGCCAGAGTACTAGCCAAGAGCCTGAAGTACATGCCCAGAGCCTGAGTGCTAGCCAAGGGCCAAAGTACTAGCCAAGAGCAAAAGTACTACTCAAATTGGAGTACTAGCCAAGAACCAGAGTACTAGTCATCAGCCAAAGTGCTAGTCAAGAGCAAAAGTACTAGCCTAGCAAAAGTACTACCCATGAGCCTGAAGTACATGCCAAGAGCCTTAGTGCTTGCCAAGGGCCAGAGTACTAGCCAAGAGCCAAAGTACAAGCCATGAGCCTGAAGTACATGCCAAGAGCCTGAAGTACATGCCAAGAGCCTGAGTGCTAGCCAAGGGGCAAAGTTGTAGCCAAGGGCAAAAGTACTAGCCAAGAGCTAAGGTACAAGCCAAAAGTACTAGCCAAGAGCAAAGGTACAAGCCAAAAGCCGTAGTACTAGCCGAGCTGGCGTACTAGCCAAGAGCCAAAGTACTAGCCAAGAGCAAAGATATTCCCCATGAGCCTAAAGTACAAGCCAAGAGCCAGAGTACTAGCCAAGAGCGAAAGTACTAGCCAAACGCAAAAGTACAAGCCATGAGCCAGAGTACTAGCCAAGAGATGAAATATGAGGCTGTGAGCGGAGGTACTAGCCAAGCTAAAGTGCTAGTCAAGAACCAAAGTACTAGCCAAGAGCCAACGTACTAGCCGAGCGGGAGTACTACTCATGAGCCTGAAGTACATGCCAAGAGCCTGAGTGCTAGCCAAGAGGCAGAGTACTAGCCAAGGGCCAAAGTACTAGCCAAAAGCAAAAGTACAAGCCATGAGCCAGAGTACTAGCCAAGAGATGAAATATGAGGCTGTGAGCGGAGGTACTAGCCAAGCTAAAGTGTTAGTCAAGAACCGAAGTGCTAGCCAAGCTAAAGTGTTAGTCAAGAACCGAAGTACTAGCCAAGAGCAAAAGTACAAGCCAAGAGCCAAAGTACTAGCCAAGAGCAAAAGTACTACCCATGAGCCTGAAGTACATGCCAAGAGCCTGAGTGCTAGCCAAGGGGCAGAGTACTATCCAAGAGCCAAAGTTGTAGCCAAGGGCCAGAGTACTAGCCAAGGGCCAGAGTACTAGCCAAGAGCTGAAGTACTAGCTGAGCTGCACTACTACCAAGAGCCAAAGTACTAGCCAAGAACAAAAGTACAAGCCCAGAAAGAAAGTATTAGTCGGGCTGGAGTACTAGCCAAGAGCCAAAGTGCTAGCCAAGAGCAAAAGTACTAACCAAAGAAAGTACTACTCAAATTGGAGTGCTAGCCAAGCTAAGGTACTAGCCAAGAATTAAAGTACTAGCCAAGAGCAAAGGTACAAACCAAAAATTGTAGTACTAGCCGAGCTGGAGTACTAGCCAAGAGCCAAAGTACTACCTATGAGCCTAAAGTACAAGTCAAGATCCAGAGTACTAGCCAAGGGCCAGAGTACTAGCCAAGGGCAAAAGTACTACCCATGAGATGAAGTATCAGGCCGTGAGCGGAGGTACTAGCTGAGCTGGAGTACTAGCCAAGGGCCAGAGTACTAGCCAAAAGCAAAAGTACAAGCAATGAGCCAAAGTACTATCCAAGAACCAGAGTACTAGCCAAGAGCAAAAGTACTACCCATGAGATGAAGTATCGGGCCATGAGCGGAGGTACTAGCCGAGCTGGAGTACTAGCCAAGGGCCAGAGTACTAGCCAAGTGCAAAAGTACTACCCATGAGCCTGAAGTACGTGCCCAGAGCCTGAGTGCTAGCCAAGGGCCAAAGTACTAGTCAAGAGCAAAATACTACTCAAATTGGAGTACTAGCCAATAACCAGAGTACTAGCCAACAGCCAAAGTGCTAGCCAAGAGCAAAAGTACAAGTCAAGAACTGAAGTACTAGTCGAGCTGGAGTACTAGTCAAGAACCAAAGTACAAGCCAAGAGCCGAAGTACAAGCCAAGAGCCTAAGTACAAGCCAATAGCTATAGTACTACCAGAGCTGGAGTACTAGCCAAGAGCAAAAGTACAAGCCAAGAGCTGAAGTTCTACCAGAGCTGGAGTGCTAGCCAAGAGGCAAAGTACTAGCCAAGAGCCAAAGTTGTAGCCAAGGGCCAGAGTACTAGCCAAGAGCAAAAGTACAAGCCAAGAGCTGAAGTACTAGCCAAGCTGCACTACTACCAAGAGCCAAAGTACTAGCCAAGAACAAAAGTACAAGCCCAGAAACAAAGTATTAGTCAAGCTGGAGTAGTAGCCAAGAGCCAAAGTGCTAGCCGAGAGCAAAAGTACTAACCAAAGAAAGTACTACTCAAATTGGAGTGCTAGCCATGCTAAGGTACTAGTCAAGAATTAAAGTACTAGTCAAGAACCAAAGTACAAGCCAAGAGCCGAAGTACAAGCCAAGAGCCTAAGTACAAGCCAATAGCTGTAGTACTACCAGAGCTGGAGTACTAGCCAAGAGCAAAAGTACAAGCCAAGAGCTGAAGTACTACCAGAGCTGGAGTGCTAGCCAAGAGGCAAAGTACTAGCCAAGAGCCAAAGTTGTAACCAAGGGCCAGAGTACTAGCCAAGAGCAAAAGTACAAGCCAAGAGCTGAAGTACTAGCCGAGCTGCACTACTACCAAAAGCCAAAGTACTAGCCAAGAACAAAAGTACAAGCCCAGAAACAAAGTATTAGTCGAGCTGGAGTACTAGCCAAGAGCCAAAGTGCTAGCCAAGAGCAAAAGTACTAACCAAAGAAAGTACTACTCAAATTGGAGTGCTAGCCAAGCTAAGGTACTAGTCAAGAATTAAAGTACTATTCAAGAGCAAACGTACAAGCTAAAAGCCGTAGTACTAGCCAAGAGCCAAAGTACTAGCCAAGAGCAAAGGTACTACCCATGAGTCTAAAGTACAAGCCAAGAGCCAGATTACTAGCCAAGAGCCAAAGTACTAGCCAAAAGCAAAAGTACAAACCATGAGCCAAAGTACTAGCCAAGGGCCAGAGTACTACCAATGAGATGAAATATCAGGCCGTGAGCGGAGGTACTAGCCAAGCTAAAGTACTAGCCAAGAGCAAAAGTACATGCCAAGAGCCAAAGTACTAGCCAAGCTAAGGTACTAGTCAAGAACCAAAGTACAAGCCAAGAGCTGTAGTACTACCAGAGCTGGAGTACTAGGCAAGAGCCAAAGTACTAGCCGAGAGCAAAAGTACTACCCATGAGGCTGAAGTACATGCCAAGAGCCTGAGTGCTAGCCAAGGGGCAGAGTACTAGCCAAGAGCCAAAGTTGTAACCAAGGGCCAGAGTACTAGCCAAAAGTACTAGCCAAGAGCAAAGGTACAAGCCAAAAGCCGTAGTACTAGCCGAGCTGGAGTACTAGCCAAGAGCCAAAGTACTAGCCAAGAGCAAAGGTACTACCCATGAGTCTAAAGTACAAGCCAAGAGCCAGAGTACTAGCCAAGAGCCAAAGTACTAGCCAAAAGCAAAAGTACAAGCCATGAGCCAAAGTACTAGCCAAGAGATGAAATATCAGGCCGTGAGCGGAGGTACTAGCCAAGCTAAAGTGCTAGTCAAGAACCAAAGTACTAGCCAAGAGCAAAAGTACAAGCCAAGAGCAAAAGTACAAGCCAAGAGCCGAAGTACTAGTCGAGCTGGAGTACTACTCAAATTGGAGTGCTAGCCAAGCTAAGGTACTAGTCAAGAATTAAAGTACTAGCCAAGGGCAAAGGTACAAGCCAAAAGCCTTAGTACTAGCCGAGCTGGAGTGCTAGCCAAAAGCAAAGGTACTACCCATGAGCCTAAAGTACAAACCAAGAGCTGAAGTACTAGCAAAGGGCCAGAGTACTAGCCAAGAGCAAAAGTACTACCCATGAGATGAAATATCAGGCTGTGAGCGAAGGTACTAGCCAAGCTAAAGTGCTAGTCAAGAACCAAAGTACTAGCCAAGAGCAAAAGTACAAGCCAGGAGCCGAAGTACTAGCTGAGCTGAAGTACATGCCAAGAGCCAAAGTACTATCCAAAAGCAAATGTACTACCCATGAGCCCGAAATACATGCCAAGAGCCTGAGTGCTAGCCAAGGGCCAAAGTGCTAGCCAAGGGCCAAAGTACTAGCCAAGAGCAAAAGTGCTAGCCAAGGGCCAAAGTGCTAGCCAAGGGCCAAAGTACTAGCCAAGAGCAAAAGTACTAGCCAAGAGCAAAAGTACTAGCCAAGAGCAAAAGTACAAGCCATGAGCCAAAGTACTAACCAAGAGCAAAAGTACTACACATGAGCGGAGGTAGCAGCCAAGCTTAAAGTGCTAGTCAAGAACCAAAGCACTAGTCAAGAGCAAAAGTACAAGCCAAGAGCCGAAGTACTAGCCAAGCTAAGGTACTAGTCAAGAACCAAAGTACTAGCCAAGAGCAAAAGTACAAGCCAAGAGCTGTAGTACTACTAGAGCTGGAGTACTAGGCAAGAACCAAAGTACTAGCCAAGAGCAAAAGTACTACCCATGAGCCTGAAGTACATGCCAAGAGCCAAAGTTGTAGCCAAGGGCAAACGTACAAGCTAAGAGCTGAAGTACTAGCCGAGCTGCACTACTAGCAAGAGCCAACGTACTAGCCAAGAACAAAAGTACAAGCCCAGAAACAAAGTATTAGTCGAGCTGGAGTACTAGCCAAGAACCAAAGTACTAACCAAAAAAAGTACTACTTAAATTGGAGTGCTAGCCAAGCTAAGGTACTAGTCAAGAACAAAAGTACTAGCCAAGAGCAAAAGTACTAGCCGAGCTGGAGTAATAGCCAAGAGCCAAAATACTAGCCAAGAGCAAAACTACTACCCATGAGCCTGAAGTACATGCCCAGAGCCTGAGTGCTAGCCAAGAACCAAAGTGCTAGTCAAGAGCAAAAGTACTAGCCCAGCAAAAGTACTACCCATGAGCCTGAAGTACAAGCCAAAAGCCAGAGTACTAGCCAAGGGCCAGAGTACTAGCAAAAAGCAAAAGTACAAGCCATGAGCCAAACTACTAACCAAGAACCAGAGTACTAGCCAAGAGCTAAAGTACTAGCCAAGAGCAAAAGTACTACCCATGAGATGAAGTATCGGGCCGTGAGCGGAGGTACTAGCCGAGCTGAAGTACTAGCCAAGAGCCAAAGTACTAGCCAAGAGACTGAAGTACATGCCCAGAGCCTGAGTGCTAGCCAAGGGCCAAAGTACTAGCCAAGAGCCAAATTACTAGTCAAGAGCAAAAGTACTACTCAAATTGGAGTACTAGCCAAAAGCAAAAGTACAAGCCATGAGCCAAAGTACTAGCCAAGAGCTGAAGTACTACTCAAGCTTAAGTACTAGTCAAGAGCCAGAGTACTAGCCAGGAGCAAAAGCACTAGCCAAGCAAGAGTAATAGCTAAAAGATGAAGTACTACTCAAGATGGAGTACTAGCCAAGCACCGGGGTACTAACCAAGCTGGAGTACTAGCCAACAGCCAAAGTACTAGCCAAGCAAAAGTACTAGCCAAGAGCCAAAGTACTAGCCAAGAGCAAAAATACAAGCCAAGAGCCAAAGTACTAGCCAAGAGCAAAAGTACTACCCATGAAATGAAGTATCAGGCCTTGAGCGGAGGTAGTAGCCAAGCTAAAGTGCTAGTCAAGAACCAAAGCACTAGCCAAGAGCAAAAGTACTACTCAAATTGGAGTACTAGCCAAGTACCAGAGTTCTAGCCAACAGTCAAAGTGCTAGCCATGAGCAAAAGTACAAGCCAAGAGCAAAAGTACAAGCCAAGAGCCGAAGTACTAGCCAAGAGCCGAAGTACTAGCCAAGAGCAAACGTACTACTCAAATTGGAGTACTAGCCAAGCTAAGGTACTAGTCAAGAGCAAAAGTACAAGCCCAGCACCGTAGTACTAGTCGAGCTGGAGTACTAGCAAAGAGCCAACGTACTAGCCAAGAGCAAAAGTACAAGCGAAGAGCCGAAGTACTAGCCAAGGGCAAACGTACTACTCAAATTGGAGTACTAGCCAAGCTAAGGTACTAGTCAAGAGCAAAAGTACAAGCCGAGCGCCGTAGTACTAGCCGAGCTGGAGTATTAGCCAAGAGCAAAAGTACAAGCCATGAGCCAAAGTACTAGCCAATAGCCAGAGTACTAGCCAAGAGCAAACGTACTACCCATG